TTTCTGAGTGTATTGTTAGTTCTATATATACCCTTGTATAGTCATATAGGAAACTTAACAATTTATACTAAATCAGTTTTGACTAGAATATTTCTTATCTTCAAGGATGATAAAGTGTAACTAGTCTACGTTTCCGTTAGGAGGAAAATAATATTTCCCCATACGCAATTCGCCGGAAGTTAACAATCAAAATGCCCAACCTTTGCGGAAATAATAGTTGAGATTTAAGAAATTATTTTAGATATAAAGTTCACTTCTTGGCTTCGTAGAGTTAAGTTATTCATAATACCACACGTATAGTAAAGCCCCATATATTCCCCGTCTACTGGGAGGGTTTATTGATAAATGTTTGTTGAAAACGGGGCTCACACTGGCTTTCAATTTTTTTTCCGCCAAAAGGATGATAATCTTTATATAAAAAAATGTTCATATTTTTTTTCCGCCAACTGGAATATTTTATCTGTCAAAAGTGTGTGATAAAGACAACATCTAACAATTTTATGTCTCAGCTAGACTTACATAATATAAAAACATTACCGATATATACAATACAATATACAACAACTTTAAAAATCTGTCTGTATGTAATAAATTAGCACAGTTTGGATTTTATAAGATCAGATTTTTTGGGGGTGACTTTAGTCTACTTGAACACCGTACTGCACAATATATTTTCAGTATTTACAAGTCAAATCTCATCCACGGATTGTCAATTTTCTATAAATGTGTTGCGTGTACAATAGGCCTGCAGTTTTTTTTCAGAATCTGAATCCCTGATAGAATGATATAAATTTCAATAATATTTATAAGAGATGCTTACACAATTATACCCGTCATTCACCCAGGGGCGGATTGGACTATCGGGTGCGATCGCCCGAATGGCCGGTCGGACAAAAAATGAAAAAATAATTTTGTCCAATTCGTCTTAAAAACCCTTTTCTGCTGAACATTATATGGGGGGGGGGGGTATTGGACCGATTATGGAGCGATGATGATCATGTTGTATGTGGCCGGTGGCTTTGACGGGCCGCCACGCCATCACTGGAGTCTGGAATGGGCTGGTATAATAGTCTTTATGGGCCGGGTGTGCTGGGTGTGGGCCGGAATTCGGAATCCTACAATGGGGATTCCGAATTTCATCCGAAAATTTCATCGGATTCGCCCGCAAATTTACTAATTATTAAGTAACCTGCATCCTGTTTGTGGGGATACCCCAGAAACGTCTGCCGATGGTTCGTAACTCCCCCAAACTAATTCAATTTTAAGGCCTCAGCAAAATTTGACGATAGCTGGTCTGCTGGCTGAATATGAGTTCGAGACGATTTACTGAGGCTGGTGTTAAACATTCCTTGACATTTTTATTAATTCGTTATTTTTAGAGATGAAATTACAGAATTGGGATGTCGAGAATGGTCTCAAATTGCGTTACAATATAAGTAACTTGATGTGGGTACCAAAATCCATGTCGTGGTAACTATATTTTGCGTCCAAGATCAAATTTTATTTTTATTTTTATTTCAGCCCGCCGCTCCTGACAAAAATGTCGAGGGTAACGCAATTGTCATAATTAAATTTGTGTGGCCTTAATTATACTCGAATATTCATTATCTGAACTAATGCTATGTTTATTAATCAATATGTAGTGTGTCAAATGTTCAAGTTCGGAGTCAAGGTAAAATAATTTACCTGGAACAACAAATCCAAAATTCAATGTGTCTCGTGGCCTTCAACTAGCGCTCCGGGCAACAAAAATGGAACATTTTTCAATGAAAATATTCCTACTTATTCAATATTCCTAACTGGTTAATCAATGGTCAAAATTTTCCTAACTAGTCCCATTTTTAACCAGTTAAATTCCCTCGACACTTGACGATACAATGATAATACGTTAATAATCATATGACGATATGATAATTTCACAGGTTGATGGTTGTAAATTACTTGCAGGTCGGAGTTTTGGCCTAAATTAATCGATTTATGAGATATATTATTTGACAGAGATTATAATCAGATATATTTGGGGTTCATTTTTCAAAATTTTCCAGGGGGAGAGCCCCCGGACCCAGTCAGTAAAAGGGGCCGCTCTGACACGGGAGCCCGGGCCGGTTTTTGACTATAGGGAGGGGGGAGGCTTTTCTTAAGAAGGCAGATATATTTTTATGATGGGCAAAGTAAGGAACTTGAAAGAAAAAAAATGGGGGGGGGGGGGTTGAATGGTTAGCATGTGCACGCCGTACCATAAAGTCTGTCATTGAGTCAACTGGGGTGGTTTCGATTCCCCGGTTGTACGTGACAAGGAGTAGGATCGCCTGTCCAACCTCGTGGATTTTCTCCGGGTCCTCCGGTTTCCTCCCACTGCTAAAGACCCCTACGCGCAAGCGAATTATTGAAATAAACTTAAAATCATATGTTATTCCCGAAATGACCTAGTTTGTGTCGAGTGGACGTTAAACCCCATTTCTCTCTCTCTCTCTCTCTCTCTCTCTCTCTGAAGGAATGGTCTAACATGAGCGCTTTATATTGAGTCAAGTGGCGTGGTTTCGATATTAAAAGGAAGTTTTAGCTTTAATCTATGAAATTTTGTCAGTAACTCGTCAATAAATATGAATAGTTCTTATTGTAACATTATATGATGCATATCACGAGATGACGCAACTTCCTGTGGTTTGTCACATCCTGGTTAGTATGAATTGTCAATACGGGTATATGTGTAATTGATCAGCCCACTGATTTCAGATTGTAGTATGTTATCGTTACAGAAGAGTTGGGCTTATTGATGTTTGGTGTATATTCCAACCAGGTAATTATTGCTTAGATTATATTTCCCATTGACAACCCCCAACTTGATAAGGTACCAAATATATATTATTCTATCGTCAATAACAATTAGGCATTGTCTGTTTCCCTTGTGATAAATAAACCAAATAGAATATCGACGCCTTGTGATAAATAAACCAAATAGAATATCGACGCCTTCCACACTACTGATGAAATGACTGCTGCTACGGAGACCCGCTAACTCAAAAACAGCTTCAAAATTGCTTTGACTATAGAAAGGCGTAAAAGAGAGCAAAATGTGAAAAAAACTTCAAAATTTTCTTATTAACCACTCCGGTGTTCCATACTCTTGATGGCCGAGAACTCCGGTGTTCCATCCTCGTGATGGCCGAGAAGGTTCCTTGGAATTTTTGCAGTCTGGTTTCCGGTTCAGTGGTGAACGGGAGGCCTGTCTAGTGACACTGTCAAGTGATTTAAAGCACGCTAAACCAAGGTCCCGGATGTTGATGTGGACGTAATAGAACCGTTCACAGTTGTGCTGGGTCAAATTTAACTTATAGCACTCTTTGTGACGTGTGCTCGTCTTCATTAACCATTTGGTCCACAGACATGTAGGATGTTGAAACCCATTTTATTATATTTCAAAATCGCTATCGCAAAAATTTCTAGGCGCTTCGCCCCCTGGATCCCCAATTAGGGGCTTACAGCGCTTCCTGGACCCCAACCGGTTTACTGACGACCTTCAAACCTACGGTTGTTTTGTTTGGCTTGTCGTTTTCTACGGCAGCTACTAAATCGTACCACCATGCCATTAATTCACACTGTGCATAAATTGGTCAATCAGTAATTTATTTTTATAATGTAATTAGGTTAAAGCGCGCTTTTATTGGTTATAGTCATAATCCCGTCGGGACGTTCTAGTCTACAGACATGGCTAAAACGATTCGGCAATGAATGAATGAATGAAATGTTGTTTACTGGCACGTCAGCTCCAACCGGGCTATATTGCGTCAAACATTTATGAATGCACATTCGATATAATGCACTTGAGATGCTTGCACTCAATCAATATGTGTTTAACTGTCAAAGAAACGTGACAGTGTTCACATTCTAGTTGAGGCTCACTGATCTGACCTGGGCTAATGAAGACGCGCATACGCCATACAGTGTGCTATGAGGGGAATTTTGCCCGGACAGGGGCACTACGGCCTACCCTTATATTGAATTCCAACTGTCAAGGGATCTTTTACTAGCACGCCACGGGACCTCGGTTTTTCTTATTATCCGCACGACTAGAGAGTTGTCCTTGTCAGGCCCTCCGTCCTGCATCACTGATTAGGGGAAACCACATCGGAAAATCTGGATAAACTTTGTCGGCCAATGCAGGGATCGAACACCCGACCTCCGGGCTAGCGAGTTAGCGCCTTAACCGCTTATAGCCACCGTGACCCCCCCCCCCCCCACAACGTTTCTAAAAGTATTCTCTTAACGTTTTTCAAGCAAATAATATAACAGTAACAAGTAGGCCAATTATATACAGACAAACGATGAATAATAACAAGATGAAAGGAAATATAAACGATTATTCGAGAAATATTTGCTCAGTGTTGTAATCGTACTCCAGTATATACTACCCATAGTCTCCAAAATAAATTTATTTTATTCGTCATTTTTTTTTTCATTTTAACGATTTTAAATAAATGTTTTGGCCTTTATTTTATTGTTAAACGATCTAAAAAACTTAATTTAAATCCAGGCCTAGAACGAATAAAATCTACCGTTTCATGCAGCTACAATTTACTGTCTGACCTTTAACCCAGGTTTAATATATCATAATATTTATTATTATCACTAGTTACAAGCTGAATAAACACGCGCATAGACAGATAGATTAAATTTTTAATATAGAGAGATATAGTAGATCTTACATAAAGAGGTCTGGCCCACTGAGTTGTAACAACTAATAAGGCTTCAATTCTTTTTGAATCAGAGATATTTTATGTTTATCTACTGTTTATAAGGTATGTTATGTATATATAATTACGTCCCTTGTTTACTGTTCTCTCTTCTTGTGTTTTATTACAGAATCTTATTCACATATTATATAATCCTGTGTTAGTATTTCGCTTAGAGTATTTATAATAAACAAGACAGTAATATGTCCCGCTTTAAATTATGAAAAAAGCACCATGTTTCATTGATATTTTCTTCTTTCTTTTCAGATTTACTGTTAAAGACTACGATAAATCAAGATAATTCACAATGGCTCAAAACCGAATGGCGGAATCTGATTATCAGATTCTAAGAAGGAATTATTCATATTTATTAGAGAATTTACAAGCTAAAAATATAACAGCACATCTCTTCCAATATGGCGTCATAGATCACGACGATCTGGAGGAAATTAATCTTAAAGAAGAAAATAAAGGACGAAAAGCCGGGGTTGAAATTCTGATAAGAAAATTACGATGGTGTGCTGGGGATTCGTATAACCTGTTTATTAAAAGTCTGGAAGTAAATGGCTACCATGAAGTAGTCCAGACTTTAAAGGTAAGTCAATTATGTTAGAATATTAGATATTATTAAACCAATTAATTAGAACAAGTGGACTGTATATTTAGATAATGGATCAAAAACATTGGCAACGTGTCTAATACTTGTCCTGTAAGTTTCATATGACAAGTTGTCAAAGCCCAGTATGAGTTGGATTGATTGTACTATTGTCTTTATACATTTCATACTAAAATATTCACAAGTATTCATCAACAACGTTCTTTAGTGTATAAACAACAATAATTTGTAAAACCTGTGGTAGAATGGAGATGGACATAGGCCTACATCATAGGCCTACATCATAGGCCTACATCATGCAGTGTGATATGTGAGACTTGTTGCCTTGACAACGGCGCTACGGCCTACTTTTATATCGAATTCTAACTATCAGGGGTTCTCATACGTGTATACTGACATATACACGGGACCTCGTTTTTTCGTCCCATCCGAACAACTAGACAATGTTCCTTGATCTTCCATACTGCACTGGTAGAATTACTGGGCTGACAGTAATTATGAATAAATCAGTTTAACCAAATGTCAGACCCTTCATTTGATTTTGTGGTTTATAATCAATCTAAGGTAAATCTGTCGTTATTAATTAATAAAAAAAACAAATTAATTACATACAATAAATTGTTATATTTACAGACAGACGATAAATTAGGTGAAACTCAAGCAGAAACTACTAGAAAAACTTTACCTCTTGAACAAGACAAACAATATTGTAGAAAACACAAGAATGAAGAAATAGAAGTTTACTGTATGGATTGTAACCAACCATGTTGTGTGGTTTGTCGCCAAGTATGGCACAACAACCATAAACTAACTGATTTACATGAAGCTGAAGAAAACTGGAAAGGTCAATTCCTTAAACTTAAAACAGAATCTGATAAAAAGATAAAACAACTACAAGAACATTCTGACTATTTAAAGGCTAAAATATCTGACCTAAACAACTCTTGTCAGACCGCGTGTGATAATGTTGACAAGAATGTTAAAAACATTTGTGATCAAGTAACCGTGTTAGGAAGTGGAATAAAAGATGATATTATCAAAGTGAAAAATGACGAAATTATGGAATTAAACAATTTCATACAGGAAGCTGGCAGGATGACATCTAAAATGAAAGATTGGTGGGATTATTCTGATCGTATGTTATTACAAAGTTCTTTAATTACATGTCTGGACAAACATAGCATGACAGATGTTCAGACCAAAATAAATCACGATATTTCATCATATGTACAAACCCCTGTGATACGACATCCATTTTATGACATGGTGAAGATTGACGTAGAATCATTAAAACAACAAATGAATAAAATGAGAATCATGGATAGTGCAACTTTTACCAGTAGTTTTAATGTAAATCAGATACTGGAGACAAACGTTAACTACTGTGATGATGATGTAATGATACAAGGAATGCCATGGTATGTAGATGTTACGCATCATAAAGATACACAAACATTGGATGTTTACCTATGGTTGAGGAAGGTAGAGGATAAAACAGTTAAAACTGTTACAGCTGATCGTACATTTAAACTGTTAAATATAAACAATGTTAGTAAACATAAAGTACAAAGGGAGACAGATACACATATACCAGGTGGTCTAGGATATGGTTATAGATTGATAGACTGGGATAAACTCATTAATCCTGATAATGGTTACCTTGACGACAACGGTATGTTCACAGTACAAACAACTGTCAAAATAAACAAAATAGATAGAAATTAATCTGAAAATACAAACTAAATAAAACGTGATATTAACTCGTACGTGATATTCAGATAGATGGAAATTTTATATGAACCGTAAAAAAAGAAAATGAAATTATGTGAACGCAGATAAGACGTGTTTATGGCAATATCAAGTTAAGACTAACAAACTCAATCTATCGGCTGATGTTGATAGCAGGGACATCTGTCTAGTCATTCGGATGGGAAGAAAACCCGTGCACGTATAAGATCCCTTGACAGTTGGAATTCGATATAAGAGTAGGCCATAGTGCCACTGCCCGGGCAGAATTTCCCTCATAGCTCACTGGATCTGGATGAACTTTCTCGGCCAATGCACCCGACCTCTAGGCTAGCGAGCCAGCGTCTTACCCACTTAGCCACGTGATCCCCAATATTATATGGATTACAAGTGTAATTCTTTAAAGATGAGAGAATCCTCGTCGAGACGTCACCATAGAAATAAACATCTAAGTATTCCATATAATTGTATCATGTATTATTCTCATTCTGTTACTAAATGTCGTTTAAACAATTCAAGATACAGTTGATACTGTTCTCGACACAATAATACTGGATAAGCGAGTAACTGTTGACTATATATATATATTATACATGTAAATAATGATCTATAATTAGAACTGTATACACTGTTTTTATAACTCTTGTTTTAATGTATTATTGTTAAACAGGTTTTAGAATTTCTTCTCCAATAATTAAACTTATATCTAACAGTATAATATAAATGTATGGTAAATTTTGTTTTTTGCATTGTTTAGATTAAAGTCCCGTGGCGCCTATTCAGCGCTACATGAATAACGTGCAGTATTTACAGAGCTATTTGGAATTCAAATTCCATCGAACTATACAATACCCCCATCGCCATGTTGTTGTCCGCGTCAATTCATTCATTAGTTGTCCTTTTTTTTTTAAAGAAATTCCAATTGGATCCAAAACGGGACATTATCAGACGTCAAAATTAAATAATCAATCTGAGTACATTTTAGAAGTTGCGAGAAATTTGATATTTTAGGTAAAATGAATCATCAGTACTTTAAATCTGTTATTTTGTGACATTAAAATAAAATATATATTTTGTATACATGTATTTTAGTATTAATTTGTAAATCATCTTCCAATATATTATTGTTGCATCACGGTTTTGTGTTAAATAAATAGTTTTGATAGTTGATTTAGTTTCCCTGCTTGTAAGTGACAAGGTGTACGGTACTCTCTCCAACCTCGTGGGATTTCTCCGGGTCCTCCGCTTTCCTCCAACAGCTATAGACCATTACACAGTCCCGAAATTACCACGTTTCCTTCCAGAGTCTAGGTTGTTATTCTTTACCGTTCATTCCAACAGTGTCGACTGCCTTACCTCGTGGGTCTTCATAAGGTCCCCTGGGTGCCTTCCCGGCGTGTAAGCGAATTATTGAAATAAAAGTTACAACATGTTAGTCCCAAAATTAACCCAGTGAACATATGCTCTTAGTGACACAGCAGTATCTGGTAGTCAGAATACTTTTATTATATTTCCTAACAAAGTTTTATTTTAAAAGTTATTAGTATGACTTACGATTTATCTATCTGTTTGGGGCTTTGTTTTTAGAGTGCGACAGAAAACCATATACAATAATCATCTCAGAATTAGAAATAGTGTTACTCAAAAACTAATGGTAGAGATGAGGCGGACAGTTGTAAAAGTTATCTCCCTTTAAAACTGAATACTGAAACAGTATATTTCAGTGTTTAATATAAAAATAAAATAAAACCAAGAACGAACAATCCAAACCATTAGACAAAATTCGAAGTTCTAAAAAAACTGTCTAGGCAAGATAGTGTAACAAGGCAATATAGTGTAATCAGCATATGGACTGTTCACCGTGTACAAAATACACGACAAACTGTGGTAACAGGTGTCCGGAAGAGTAAGCTTACCCTGCCTGGCGTCACACCCGCCATAGCAGCATCCAAACTATTAGACGAAATTTCGGTAAAATAGCGTGATTGGCCAATTGACTATCGGTATGCAAAATGCACGTGATGAACAGTGTTAACGATGTAGTAGACAGACATTATCAGGGAGATAGTATACGTGTCAATTAAATATATCTAGAATAATAGCCGAAAGAGACATATTATATTTACCAATCAAGTCAATATTATACTGTACCCCTTTTTTTGGCTTCCCAGATTCCTTGATGAAAATTATAGAAACATGTTATATTGAAACCGGTACATCCCTGAAAAAACCGAAATCAACCGACAGAGATACATGAATAGCTTACTATTAGCAGTCCGTTTTCTAGTTCTTGTGAGCGTCACAGCTGTGCAGCTGAAATGGGTGGTCAAAGGATCACCAGTTAGAGTAGTTTGGGGCAGTCTAAGGGTTATGAGTAATTCAGTGCCACCTGCCATTTTGGTTTTACGATGTCGAGAGCCACAGTCGGTCAGTGAGTAAAATACCGGCACACTAACCAGGAGAAAATGTAAATTCAAGCACATGTCTTCGATTCTGGACCATAAAAGTCAACAAAACAAAAAATTGCCATTCAAAAGGGGAGAAATCGAGAATTCCTATTACATTAGTCTTATACTAAAAGGGGATCACGTGGCTAAGTGGGTAAAACGCTAGCTCGCTAGCCTGGAGGTCGGGTGTTCGATCCCTGCATTGGCCGAGAAAGTTCATCCAGATTTTCCGGCGTGGTTCTCCCTTGTCAGTGATGCAGGACGGAGGGGCTGACAAGGAAAGCTGTCTAGTCGTTCGGATGGGACGAAAAACCGAGGTCCCGTGTACACATTGGCGTGCACGTAAAAGATCCCTTGGCAGTTGGAATTCGATATAAGAGTAGGCCGTAGTGCCGCTGTCCGGGCAAAATTTCCCTCATAGCACACTGTATGGCGTATGCCCGTCTTCATTAGCCCAGGTTAGGAGCAGAACAGTAGGACGTTAAACCCCATTTCATTTCCCTATCTACTCATAACACATTTATACCCTCTAAACCCAGGGTGGCGAAAATTCATTTTTCAGATCGTTTGCCAATATTTTCAATTTGATAAAAGTACATTTGTTTTAGCTTTTTACTTGATTTTGCTATTTGATTTGTGTGTACTGGAGTCTTAGATTCATACAACACAGGATTTGGTCCAGGGGCATACAACACAGGATTTGGTCCAGGGGCATACAACACTGGATTTGGTCCCGGGCATCATCAAACCTCTTCACGTTACTCTACCTGTAGTACATTAAATGTAAAATGAAATGAAATGGAGTTTAACGTCCTACTTTTCGGCATCGACTGGGCTAATGAAGAAGGGCATAAGCCAAACAGTGTGCTGAGAAGGCAATTTTGCCCGGACAGCGGCACTACGGCATACTCCTATTTCGAATTCCAACTGTCACGGATTGTTTTAAGTGCACGCTAATTTGTACACGGGTCATCACTTTTTGTCCCATACGAACGACTATACGTTTTTCCTTACAATGCCCTCCGACATACGCTGCTTACAAGGGGGTCCACGCCTACATTAAATATAATAATCAGTAACAATAAACATGAAAGGTGAATTAAGTCTAGAACAGGGGAGATAACTCGTCTATCCATGTCAACATAATGAGACAAGAGAGAGGGGGGGGGGGTATTTCGGGACTAACTGATGGTTCAAAATTATTTCATTAATTCGCTTGCGCGTAGGGGTCTTTTAGCAGCGGGAGGGATCCGGAGAAACCCACGATGTTGGACAGGTGACCCAACTCCTTGTCACGTACAACCGGGGATTCGAAACCACGCCAGCTGACTCAATGACAGGCCTTATGATACAGCGTGCACACGCTAATCATTCGTCCATTCAACACCACCGTAATGAGAAACCATTATAAATACGTTAATGTGTATTGACAATGTCAAATAAACGAAGGAATTACAGGCCGCAAGTACTCTTTTCTCCGGGTTATTGCACGTAAGTAATTATGCCGTTAGATACAACGAGGTTTGATTTTAACATAGTAGTGACACGTCTGGAACGTAGACTTTAAAAACAAAACCCTATTATGCTCTATACTGATCCCTGGGCTGAGAGATCCCCATTTGCGAGCAAAGCTGTACAGGCTCTATAAATATTCGGGGGCAGAACCTTAAATGCCCCAAAAAATTAATTTCGGGTTATAGATGGTGGTGCCGGTCGGCTGCGAGAGGCGAAGGGGCAGAGCTTACCGTGCAGGACCCCCCCCCTCCCTCCCTTAAAGATACTTTGGAAAATTTGACGGCCGCAGACACGTTTTCCTTGCGCGTATGGCGATAGTGGGATATTGGATTAAGACGGTTGTATTAACATCTTCTACACTGAAAAAACCCTTGTGTTGGATCTCAACACAAGAACTTGTGTTAAAAATATTTAACACATGTTTGTGTTGTATTGCATTGCAATGACACAAGTTTGTGTTTTTTTCAATGTCTTAACACAAACTTGTGTACATTTATAAAATCTTATGTGTTTTTTTTCCATATAATTAATTACGTCGACATTAAAGATAACATTTATTATGTTCCTTTATCACTAGCCTATATGTAAAGCCACTCTTCCTGAATTTGAATGTCGAGTAATTCACTTGATTTATTTTTTAATATTTCTAATTATCTAAAAGGATATATTAATTATTACAAACATTAAGTAGAAATCGCAATGTTTGTATCGTGCGATGCATTTAATATCTCTTTTAAAACAACGTATTTTATAACAGTATACTGATATAAGAGATCAAAGTTTTAGTCAATTATTATCTAAATATAAACTATTTATTTAATTAGATATAATAAAAGATTATTCTGATTCTACTCTTTGTTTATTTTCACATCTTGTCTCAGACAATATACAGAGACAGGTTATTACAATGTCTGCATTTGGAGGTGTCTGATTGATATCGCCCCAATAAACTTGACACATCAAAGACAATAACAATTGTGTTATATCTACGTTTTAAAAAAATGTTTGAATGGGCGTGGAAATAGTCGAGTTAATCTTTTTATTTAATTTAATTGGTTCATTAATCGAAATTGGAAATTTATTCTTACCTGTAAATGACCAATTAAAATGAATTACTCTTAAAACAAAGAAAGAAATATTTATTGAAGTAATTTTGCGGTATTAACCCTGTGGTACTGCAAATGTTAACTGTATTATTAAGCATTAGTATCGAAAAAAGTGATATTGTTGTGAAAAAAGTTTGTCAGAAAATAAGAATATCAGGTTTGTGATTTTGGTATTTTTTAGTACAATGTATTTATAACGCAAATTTTTCGTTTCGGTTAAAACAAAATATACGTCCATTTTAATTGGCCGAAGGATGTGTGACTAATAGAAATATGGCGGGCGGACAAACTGACCAAACAGTATATTTCGAGGTATTTGAGGTAAGCTAATTTAATATTATATCATAACTGCATGTGCATAATTGTGTTTCTGTTTGATTAAATATTCAAAAAATCATTCTTAGGATACAACCTCGACACCAGTCCGCCCTGAATTGCAATGTTTGTTTTGTGTTCTGGGCGCCATTTTGAATATAATACAATCCAGCGATAGTGTAGTCTAATTCCTTTAAACGGGAATCCGAATTTGTTAATTTTCTGCAATATCACTTCGGTGGAAGCGGACATTAAATAAAGCTATTTCACGTACAAAGACCTACAATAAAATCCAGGTGAATTGGGAAAAATATTCATGTATTTTCTTGATGAAGAGTAGCTATTTCAATTTGTAAATGCCCAGTCATCTTAGACAAATAATAATTCCAACTTCAAATCAGTTGTATTTATTCAAATCATACCATGAAGAATTGTATTTTTCCACTTGCATAATAATAAAAACTTGACTTTTATTATTTTATTTCTTCAGGCCAAGAGCACGGAAAATTGGTAATTGCCTTGTATCACTGCTAACTATAAATCACAGGGAGCCTTGGGCAGAAATGATAATATGGTTCTCAGATATGTTACTGTGTACAGACTGAACAGAAAATATTTATACACTTGCTATTACAGTACTGGCCAAATTAATAGCAATTTTTTCTAAAAACGTTGCAGAAGTTACTCACTAAAATTG